CACTATGGCGGTGTCTGTAGAGCACAGGTGCCTCCATAAATTCTTGACCCTCATTAAGGTGCCGTACGCCAACTCCCGCGGCCGTGTAAAGCGAGAAGCTCTCTCCTGAGTTCACCACATCCAGTGGTGTCCGACAGGGCTGTCCCCTTTCACCTTTCCTCTTCAACTTCGTCATTGATAGATCATGGAAGACTCACTACCAGCCTCTAATGCCTGTGGGGTCGAAGTTCTCCCTAGGCATCCGCTTACGGAGATCAAGTACGCAGACGACGTAGCTCTTCTGGGATCTGGCCCCGTGGTAATGCAAACAATACTAAATAATCTAAATAATTCTGCCTTGCGGTTTGGGATGCGCTTCACACCTGCAAAGTGTAAAGTGCTACTGTAAGACTGGGTGGGCTCGAACCTTAGGCTCATGCTTGCGGATGGACCGATTGAGGTAGTAGACAAATTTGTTTACCTGGGCAACTGTATCAGTCCCTGTGGTCTCACGGAAGAAGAAATTCCCATCCAGATTGGGAAGGCCAGAGCAGCTTTTGCGAACCTACGTCACCTGTGGCGTAGGCGTGACATCAGCTTCTCTGTCAAGGGTCGAGTTTACAATGCTGCGGTGCGCTCCATATTACTATATGAATCAGAAACCTGGCCGCTGCGCGCCGAGGACGTCAAGAGACTTTCAGTGTTTGACCATCGATGTCTTCGGAGCATTGCCCGAATCTGGTGGGAACACCGGACCAGAAATTCTGAAGTACGTCGAATGGTATTCGGGAGAAATAACTCACCCTCGATAGATGAACTGATCACACTGCACAGGTTGCGCTAGCTTGGCCACGTGTTGCGATGCCAGTCGACCGACTTCCTCGAAGGGTTCTTTTCGCACACCCATGTGAAGGGTGGAAGAGATCCAGAGGCGGTTAAACAATGACTTGGCGAAGTGTGAAAGCCATTACCAACAAACTCAGCTGCGCTGGTAATTGCCCTCTTCCTGGATCAGGACCCCGAGACGGGCCACATCAATGGCTGGAGACATTGTCAGACATGGTCCAGTCGCGCCCTCAACGGTGCTCGTTCATCCAAGCCATTGGCTTCAATGCATAGCTCCTTTTTCAGCCCCCCACTTTACATCCCACTGACAGTGCTGGATTTAATGCATCAATTTATCAGCTTCCGTCTGAAATGCGCAGCCACCTACCCCTCCCCCCAAATAGTCGATGAACGAAACTGCGGCAGCTACAACCACTGTAGGACGAGTACGCGGTTCTTACCGCTGACAATGATGATGATGGACTGATGAGGAGCAACTATCAGTGTATGACCATAACGATAGTCGGGACAGAAAATACTACAAGCTAACTTGTATGGGATAAAAGTAGTTCGGGCCGGCTTTCTAACTTTGCCTCTGCAAACCAAATTGATGGTCACATTTGACGAAGCTTAACCTGCACTGCTTATTCTGGACTTTCGGCATTTATTTTGGCTTAAATATCACGATCTATTTTTATAGGATAGCTATCTTTCATTTAAGTCTGTGTGTGAATTCGGGTTTCCGAGTGAACTTTGGTTTACCACCAGATGAAAATTGGATAGAACTGGATGCCGTTTGTCCCCAAAGACCGGCCTTAGTATATGAATGATGAGAGAAAAAGAGTTAGAGTTTATGTTAACTCTTTATTTCTTAAACCCTAGACCATCAGTTAGCTAGTAAGTGGAGTGTTAGGGGTCGATCCTCTTACTTCTGGGCGTTAAAATCTGCATCCAATGGCTGCCACGCAAATCAGCATCTAGCAAGCGCACAAGTGTCTTCAAAATGTCAAAAGGACTATTCCACAGGTTTGCTAATATGAAAAACAGACAATAAGTTGTAGTTATCTTTAACTTTTGTTTGAGCCTTCAGGTGAGACATTATACCCGAAAATATTTTCTCTTCGGCGGTATTCTAAAGAAAATAAGTAGGAAAAGCCACTGTTAACTAAATTGCTTTCCACCAAATCAACCTAGCTGCTATTGTCTGCATAAATCCTAGCTACACTTTAATATTTCACTCTTGTGACCTGAAGGAATCAAAGCTACTAGAAGCCTCAGTGGGGTCTAACTGACCCAAAAAGTCTTTGAAGACCCTTCTGTTTTGCGAAACGTCCTCATTAATTTAGCTTCTATTCCAAGGTTTTTATATGCAGCGAAGCCTAGGTCACAATCCTTGAAATTTTGTGATACCAGTCAAACTCTTATGAACTGTGAAGTGTGTATCGTCTTTCTCTCAATGAAATAATATACAAAATTAAGTGTACTAATGGGTTTTGTGCTAAGCCTTGCAGCGTGCTCCTTTTCTCACCATTATGCAACGTGGTTTTCATCTTCTTGTGTGAGGGTATAACGTTAATGTATTAATCCACCAGCAAACCAGGAAAATACTTGCCCTAGCTCTGCACTGGAATTGGAAGAGTAGGTTCCACTACCGGTCCCCTGGATAGTCTGCCTTCAGAAAGTGGTCGTTCAGAGAGCTGTTCTCTTACCCTGACTCTGTGGCAGCAGCGCTACAGAAAACCAACTTTCTGGTATATAAGTGGCAGGTGAAATTCTGTCGTTACAAGAGGGTCAGAAAACTCTTGTGCTATATTTTATCAAAAATTTGCTCAAGTTTCGTGGATAAGGTGTGCAATTTTTGGCTTTTATCTGTTGATCCGACTAAATTTTAGCGTTCCACTTTTGACTATATCTCAGGATCTTAAAACACACATTTACGCTGCTAAAGTACTTGCAGAGCGTTGCCTTAAAATTTTGCGGCAGTAGTCACTACAATCACTTCCCTTAGTATCCTCTACAACTAAGGTCAAGCTGATTGGTACGCACAATATTTTTGTCGCCACCATTATTAAACGGTGATGCGACGGCGCTTTTTCACTGAATAATCAATGCACTTCTTGGACGGCTAGGCGCACCGACAAAGAATCAGGCAAATTTCGTTGCCAGATGGCATAGAACTAGTCCTAGACAGATCCTATATAGTCTATACTCAGATGTAAAACTTTTGAGATAAACCCCGTTTCCCGTCACCATTGGGGTCAAAGAATCCATACTTACTTAAGCCTATGCTCCTCATATTTGAGTCATTGTATGTAGCTGTATGCCCCTGCTCCGTTGTTTGTTTGATGGACAATCAAATTTACAAACCAAACACCTTAGGACTCTATGTGTGTATTAAGTCCCACCGTTCTAGCCAGCTCAGTGTACGTATGAGTTTTGAGGTTAGAAATGAGCATTTCTAGTTACCATGACATTGAAACAGCCTGAATAGTCCTAGTTTCGCTAGTTTATCTAGTGTAACTCACGGTCGTCACACAGGATTCTTCCACGACCCATTGGAGGCTATCTTCATTGATGGCATCCTTGGCGCAACATTTTTGGGACATCAACTGAATTGTTAATTAAAGCGCTATGCGCTATTAGCTCCTCAGCTTTTTTGACCCCCCTCCCCCAGAAATCCTTATGACAATGCTCCCTGGGAAATTTTAACACGCCACTTCACGGTAGTTTGCTTTCTGTCTGATTTTCAACCTATCCAGCAGAAATTCGTAGACTTACTAAGTTTTTTT